ACAACGAGCGATGCAACTCTGGAAGTTTATTAAAACAAACTTCGAAATGAAAACCCTATAAATCTGCATTCAAGATAACGACACACACATGGAAGCCAGCACGTGCTTGTGATTAAACCCCTTGACGTAGATGGTTCAAGATCTTGCACCAATGATGCGGCACGGCGCCTCTCACCAAAACACAAAGAGTATAAGATGGTCAGTTACAGACGTGGGAAAGTTGATGGAGTGCAAGCTAATCTCGTACCTCAGTTGTAGTGCTGTTGCTCATCCAAATATTGCTGCTGATCACATGGGGTTCGAGAGTGGCCCATGCCCGGAGGTTGTGTTGCCTGGCTGCTGCTCGGCACTGCTCGCGGGCGCGGAGGCAGCATGGTGGTGGGTGCGTGAGGAGCATGTAGAAGTGGTGCCGGTGCCAGCTCCGGCATGAGCTGCCGCCATTCGCGCCACCTGTGCCAGAGGCCACGGTCGGCTAGGCAAGCCACATGCTGCTGGGTGCACCCGGTCAGCAGCTGCTGCTCCGACACGGTCAGTTCAATACTGCGCTGGATGCGATAACCCTGCGGCCGAACCACCACAGCGGCAGCCTTGTATCCCTTGGCTGCCTCTTCCTCGCTCGGGAAAGGCCCCATGCGAATGGGGTTATCAGGGGCCGGCATCAAGAGCTTGGCAAACCAAGAATCTCCCCCCCCGGTAACACCCGCGTACTTGGACTTTGCACGCCCACCGGTGAAGGCATCGCTAGTAGCTCCAGCTGCACCGGCCTCGCCTCTGGCGTCGCGCATCCATTCCCCGCCGCCTTCACCCGCGCCACTCATACTCGGGCTGGCTGGCAGAAGGTACGACTGCTGTGGGGGGGGTGCGTGCTGCGGTGGACCGGCCTGCCAGTAAAACGGCATACCGGGCGGCGGAGCATAAGATGGCATAGCAGCGTAGCCTTGGTATATGGGAGCGGACGGGCGAGGCACAGCTGGGAGTGGAGCGACCGGTCGTAGCGGCGGGGCAGGTCGGGATGTGCCCGGCTGATAGTACGCCGCGTCCCGCCCCGGTGGCACACTAGGCTGATGCGGCTGTGCAGTAGCGGGGGCGGGTGACGGCGATGCAGGTGCGTAGTGCAACATGACGGTATTGCAGCAGCTGGTCAAGGAGGAAGCGGTAAATGGATTGAAGCTGAGCGGCACCGCCCCGCAACATACGTGCGAAACATGCTTGGTGAGCAAGTTCACCAGATTCCCTTTCTCATCGGTTTCAAGCGCGGTAAAAAGCCGCTGGAACTAGTGCACATGGACCTCGTCGGACCACTGCCAGTACAAGGGGATGGGGGAGAGCGATATTTTCTTACGATCATCGACGACTGGAGCAGAGTCATGTGGGCCTACCCCTTGAGGCAAAAGAGCGATGCAGCAGCGGTGATTCAGGATGAATGGATTCCTACGGCAGAAACACAATCTGAATGTCGGGTGAAGCGGATTCGCACTGATCGTGGTGGAGAATTCACGGGAGACAAGCTGGAGAATTGGCTGAAGAAGAGGGGAATCATAAAGGAAAAGACCACAGCTTATTCTCCACAGTCCAACGGGGTAGCTGAGCGAGCAAACAGAACGATTCTCGAGACAGCCCGAGCACTACTGATCGAGTCCGGTCTCGGAAACTCAAAGTGGCCGCATGCTGTAAGGCATGCAACGGTGGCACGAAACAGGGTCCTTACGAATGTCGGAGATGAGAGTTGGGTTCCAATGAGATGGTGGCTCAAGTGGAAACCGCCAGTTGACATGCTGCGCGTATTCGGATGCATGGCGGTGGCTCACGTTCCCAAAGCCCACAGGAGCAAGTTAGGAGCGAGCGCGATCTGGTGCGTGCACCTTGGCCTGGCACAGGAAAGCAAAGGGTGGCTGCTGTGGGAACCAAAGAAAGGGCGTTTCTTCGACAGCCGAGATGTAAAATTCCTTGAGAACGTGATGTACGGGAGCTGGAAACAACAGCCGGAGGAGAAAACTGCACAGCAGCTGCAGGAGATTTCTCTGTCATTCGATCCGATTCAGGAGGAAGCCCCTCAGGCAGAACCTGCGGAAACCAAGGAAAACGGGGTCGAAGTGGGGGAGGCAGCGAGGAGCCAACCGAGGAGTATAGTCGAGCAAAAGGGAAGGAAGAGCAGCAGCATCCTCTCACTCAAGTGAAACCTCCATCCCTGCCCGCGAGGAGAACTCAAACGCGCTCAATGTCTAACAGAGCAGCATCAGCAACTGCAGCAGATCTGATGAGGACGGCGGTGCTGAAGCTGAGAAACCTAAACTTACGGGAACCAGAAGGGGCGCTTCAGGAAAGGGAAGATGCTTTATTAGTGACAGGGGACGGAACCAAGGCTGAAAGCAAGGAAGAGCCGGCTTACTGCTTCGTGATCCCTGAACAACCTGCGAGCATGGAGGAAGCCCTCGCCGGAGCAGACAAGGAAAAATGGCTTGTGTCCAGGGATGCTGAATACAACAGCCTACTAAAGAATAACACCTAGAAACTCGTTCCCTTGCCGGAAGGAAAAAGGGCGCTTCAGTGCAAATGGGTCGTGCGGATCAAAACTGACGAGAAGTGCGAGGTGACAGTGTACAAGAGCAGATTGTGGCAAAGGGTTTTCAACAGAAGGAAGGGGAGGATTTTCGAGAGCTTTTTGCGCCCACTGCTAAACCTCCAACTTTGAAAGTAATCCTTGCTGACGCAGCAGTGAGCAGATGGTACATCCAACAGATGGATGTAACCACGGCTTTTCTCTACGGGGTAATCGAAGAGGAAGTCTACATGGAGCAGCCTTCGGGATATGAGGACGGAACGGGGAGAGTATGCAAGCTGAACAAGGCTATCTACAGTCTCAAGCAGGCTCCAAGGTGTTGGTATCAAAAACTAACAGCCGTTTTGGGGGAGCTGGGATTCAGAGCAAGCAGCTGTGATGAGAGCTTGTTTCTGAAGGGCGAGAAGGAGGAGATGGTGCTGTTCTTGGTGTATGTCGATGACATACTACTATTCAGCAGCAGCATAAAGGAGATTCAAAAGGTGCAGAAAGGGCTCATGGAGACTTTCCAGTGCAAGGTCCTTGGAGAGGCTTCCTACTACCTCGGCATGCACATCGAACGCGACCCTGATCACATGTGGCTGAAGCTTCACTAAGAAAGTACGTGAAGCAACTGCTGGAGAAGTACGACATGGAGCTCGGACGGAAGGTCGCCACCTTACTACCATGCGAATTCAAACTTGTCAAAGCGGAGGAAGGAGAAGGAGTTGAGGAGGGAGAGCAGCGCGCTACCAATCACTTGTGGGGAGCCTTCTGTACGCCGCTGTACACACAAGGCCAGACATCTCCTTTGCGGTCGGACAACTCGCCAGGGTGGTGTCCAACCCAACTGAGGAACAAGTTGACGCAGCCGAAAGAGTCGTGAAGTACCTGAACTCATTCCCATCTGTAGGAGTTCAATTCTCAGCAACGGCACAGCAGAAGCAGAAAGGGGTCGAGCTGCTTAGGGAGAAGGGAGAGAGGCTACCGGAACAGAAACTCTTTCTCACTTGCTTCTCGGACACAACCTGGGCATCGGAGCAGGAAGACTCATCCTCTGTGGGTGGATATATCTGCATGATAGGGGGAGGACCAGTGAGCTGGAGGTCCAAGAAACAGAGTGAATCGGCTCTTTCATCTGCCGAGTCCGAATACATGGCCATGTTTCATGCCTCAAGGAAATCATATGGCTGAGAAGGCTACTGGAAGAGATCGGTCAAGAGCAGACGATTCCCACGCCACTCTACTGCGACAACATGTCAGCAATCGCAATGGCTCGCAACGCTGTCCTTCACAGCCTCAACAAACACATGCGCCTGAAGTGGCACTGGTTGCGCAAGGAAGTTAACCGAGGAACTGTCAACCCGATCTACATTAAGACACAGAAGCAGCCGGCAGATGTCTTGACCAAGCGGCTGGCTGACGAACCACACTGGCGATGTGCGCGAATGAGCGACATGAGCATGAACTAAGGGAGAGGGGAGAAAAAACCGACAGATTGAGGGGGAGTCTGTTAATACAGAATCAATTTTTTTTATATCAATCAGCTGGTTTATCTCCTGGGAGTGCGCAAGTCATTTGAGGCGAGAAGCGCTGAGGCGGATCGTTTATTATCGAAGTGGGATTTAGCTTTGACCAATGGGAGGTGTCGGTTCATAGACTCGGCTTGACTCGACTGATCAATTGATCAAAAGGCAGCACGGAGTTCCCGTTCGCGCTGCGAGCTCGTTGGTGCTCAAAGCGACGAATTTCGACTGCGCTGATTGGTCAATGTTCGCGCAGCGAGTTCGTCGTTCTGAACAGGTTCCGAACATGTTCAGAACAGGTTTTCGAACATATTCTGAACAGGTTCCGAACATGTTCAGAACAGGTTTCGAACATGTTCTGAACAGTGTTCACGCAAGTTTGTAACAGGCTTCGAACAAGCTGACGCGGCTGAAGCAGAGGGCAGCACCGACATTCTGAGAGCTGCACTCTCGCCATCTGGAACTCGTCAGCTCGAGAAAGTGCTCACGACTCGAGCGATCAAAGTACGTGGCGAAACTGCTAACGCCACCAGTATTTCAAGCGAGGAGATTGGCCCAAATCAGCACGCATGTTCAAGACAGCGAAGCTAACTCAAATAAACAGAACGGACCGATCGGAGCCGTTATCAGAAGAGCGCGAAAATAAGAACGGATCAATACCGTTAATAAATTTCGCGCGAACGGTTGAAATATTCGCCGGCGAATCGCAACCTAGCCGAGTCACAAAATAAAACGAGGGAAACGCGAAAATTGCTCGCGCCTCGCTAATGATAGGAATTGATTAGAGATGTTAGATATCTAGCAGTAGGATCAGCCTAGAGAATATAAAAATGTATGTCTTGGATATTAAAAACAACTCTCTCTGTCTATCAAGCATTCTCCCACGCGACTCTCAAGTTTATCAAGGATTCTCTAACTACGCCGCAACATAGGACTTCCGCTGCTGCAGTTCTACGCTACTGAGATTCTCTTTCGACAAACTCGGACCCTTGGATAGGGGCTGACTTCGGTCAGGCACCCAAGGACCCTCGGAGGTGACCCCGAGAAGAGTTGTTTCAGCTATCGTGGTACTATCAGCAGTAGGAACTTGTGAGTAACAAGCTGGTATCAGAGCTGGTATCGACATGATTGCGGCGTCAGAGCATAATGGGATCCCAGGATGGAGAAGGATCTTCCGCACCCACGGGCAGCGGAACTCAGGAAACCGGCATCGTGGTGCAGCAAGGAGCTCGAACAAACCAGGGGTCGCTCCTGAAGGAAGTGTTGCGGAACTTCAGCGTTGAGAAGTTCAATGGCGACGGATACGATGACTGGTCATGGAAGATGCAGCTCTACTTCAGGCAAATCGGGCTTCTCAAACTCATGATGGGAGTGGAGAAGCGACCATCGGATGCAAGCCTGCAAGCTGACTGGGATGAACGACCATCTGCGGGATACTACCTCCTGTCCCAGAGCCTGGAGCTGAATCAACGGCAGCACATAATGCACCTGCTACCGGAAGAAGACTGTGGACCTCGAGCCTGGACTGTGCTCAAGGACCTGCACAATGTCCGTTGTGGCTACTCTGATGGAACGAGAGTTGTCGTCCTTGCGACTCAGTGAGGGGGAGCCGATCCAAGGTGTCATCGACAAGATGCGGGACATCTATGCCAAGCTAACTGCTGCAGGGGTGTCATATCCAAAGCAAACCAAGTGTCTCAAGATGTTGTCGCTGCTGCCCGAGTCCTAGCTACCTTTTACCAACGGCCTGAGCTTGCCACAAAACCAGAGCTTATGGACCATGGAATGGGTGCGAACTAAGATTCTTGAAGAAGACTTTCGGCGTCGTCAGTTAAGGGGCGGGGATGAAGGGAGCTGCGACTATGTGATGCAAGGCAGCAGAAAGGGAAGGGGCCGAGGAAGGCCCTGGCCTGGAAGAGGAACCCGTAATGATGACTATCGGCAGGAGCAATCAGGAAGCTCGTATGCTCGTGGTGGAGGAGTAAATCGAGGAGGACATGGGGCCAATGGGGGCAATACAAGAATGGAAGGACGTTGCTGGTACTGCAAGAAGATC